TTGTATGCTATTTGGTTAGGACCACTAGTAGTAGTTCAAGGTTGATGCACATAAATATAGAATATTCCATATATGGAATGTTAAGTGGTGAACACACACGTTTTATTATATATATATTTTTTTTGCACTGAGCCTCCTTTTGTTTTCGAAACAAAAAGGCAATGATTGATTTTCTTTGTTAACTGGCCTTTCTTTTCATCCAGAATAAAAATACAAAAACATAGAAATCAATAAGCCATTATTTGCAAGTTCAAAGGCTACGACATTGAATTTATTATTGAGTTGGGTCTTCCACATATATATAACCCGTGAAATTGATATTTCTTCTTCAATTTTCGTTTTTTGCTTTTAAAACATTGAAATAATTAAACAATGACTTAATTTTGTTTAAAGCACAGCAACAACAACTACGTTTTTTTATTATTATCCACTCAAACAATTTTGTTTACTTATGGTGCTCAGTTCGACCGCCGCTGTTCGCTTTAATGTTCACTCGGGGTAAGGCGAAACGCCACTATTCTTCTAGCTTTTTGACTTGAGGAAAAAATGTACAGAGAACTCGCGCGGCACAGACAGACAGACATACACTTACCAACCACATCGTGTAGAACACACATGCTATGTGATGGTAATGCCGGTGCCCACTCACTCACTACTCTTTCACAAGTAAAAAGAAAAAGCATTTATTATTATTTTGCCTTTTCTCATTAATGTGTCCAATATTGGGATGACAGCCGGCACACAGGGGTTGCAAGGGTAACAAACACACATCGGGCGTAGGGGTGGAGAGGAAGTAATTCAAAGGTTAGGGTGTGTTTTAAACAATTGATGCTTTGCAAAAAATAAATGTGAGCACACACAAAACACATTTTAAAATACCGACTGAAATGCATTTTTATTGTTTTTTTGAGATAGATGGTACAGATGATACCATTTGACAGAAGTTCTGTGGGATGCAATGGGAAAATAATGCAGACAGGTTGGAGAAACATAAAAACTAATGTCCCAACATTGATTTGGTTACCAAAAATTCCGTACAAAGCGGCATATCGAGAATTAAAAGAAAAGTTTATGTTTGGAAGTTATCGCCAAAGATAAATCTGTAGACCCGTTTGAGATGCATTGCCTTTATTTACATCGACCAATTGCCTACTGTATTTAATTTTGAAAAATATTCGAATTGTACTTCCATTACAAATCGGACGAAAATATATATGGGAGCTATATCTAAATCTGTACCGATCTTCACGAAACTTAACACACATCATTCTAGGCTTAATTCAGTACGCTATGCCAAATTTCGTGCAAATCGAAAGCTTTATAGAGACTTTGTGGCATCATTTACATAGCATCGGTCGAAATCTAAATCTGAACCGATTTTCACAAAACTTAGTACGCATCGTTCAAGACTCAATTCAGTACGCTGTGCGAAAATTAATGCAAATCGAAAGTTATATAGCGAATTGTGGACCACCATTTACATAAAATCGGACGAAATATATATGGGAGCTATATCTAAATCTGAACTGATCTTCACGAAACTTAGCCTAATCTGTTTAATTGTGGAAAATCATGTCCCTTAAAAGAAATTTCCTTTACCATTTTGCACACAAAACCCAAAGAAATTTTAAATTTTCAATTTGGTTCAGATTTTTTTCCAATATAGAAAATATTTATCCTAAATTTATTACTTCGATTCACAATTATCATCATGATCATCGTTTGTGTTTACTTTTTCTTTAAATTAAATAAAAAATCTATTTCTGCTGTTTCTTCTCTTCGAAACTAATAAATATTCAAATATACATTTTTTGTTTGCCAAAGGTGTAACGAATACGATCGATGGTAAAGCACTTTTTTCTCATCTCGAAATTCATCTCACAAAAAACACACACTTTCTATTATCTTTCCATGATATTCGTATCTTCTCATAATTCTTAGTTGTTGTTGGATTTGTATACTTTGGAATATATTTTGGTTTGTATTCCAAATTGTTTTTTTTATTTATAACAATACAAAATAATCAGTAGTTTTGACGACATTTATAAAATTTAAAAAATAAAATAATTAAAAAAATAAATCATGGTAAAAATGGCATGGCTGGTATATATTGCAAAGCTTTAACTGTGGCACCATCCGGATTTTCCAGATCCTTAACTAAACCCCGTATACGAGAAACCACATCACTGCGTTGTATATCACGACGATCAAGCATGCGTTGAAAGAGTGTGTGCAGCTGGCGAGCAGAAGACATTTTTGAGAGTTCATTTAAATCCTGTAGCAAATTATCCGAATATCCTTCATATTTACTGAGATTTGACGACTTGGCATCACGTTTGAGGAGATCATAGACCAGCAGGAATTCAACATATGGCTTTGTGGGTGGTATACGTTTTTTGCCGGCCGTCGAAGTTGTAGACCAACGATCCATGGCTGTGTCCGAATCAATTGTGGCCCGACCATAATTATCATCATAGAGCCGTAGAAAATTATCCAGAGATTCAACATCATTATTGAAATCATCATGATTTGGTTCGGTAATAATGTCACGTATTAAGGAGAGTGGTAGATTTGCCAGACCATCTGGTTTCTCGGCCATTTCATAGAATATTTCATAGCCTTCAGGTTCATGTTTAAGTTTGAGGGGATTTTCTGGAGCATATAAGGCTGGCTTGTGGGCTGGTGTGGGAGGATTTGTGGGGGTTTCGGTGGTAGTTGGGGCAACTCCACCCCACCAGGATGGAGGATTCCACCAACCGGTAGTTGTTGAGCCCGGTTTATTGGTTGTAAATGGACGGCGAGTTGTTGTAGTTGTTGTTGAAGAACTATTCATCGCATCGTCTGCCATAAAAGGTGGCTCCACCGTTGTCGACGACAATGGTTCATATTGTAAATGATCAATGTAGTAGGCCAGAGCCTGCATCGATGCTGGTAAATAACTATCCAGTAGATTGGCGCCATAAACAAAGATCTCAAGCCTTGTCGTCACAAAGTATATCAATATAAGTTTCCACAACATTTTATGTTATTAATATTTTTTAAAACGTTGTTTTAAAATCCCCGATATTGGTTTAATGGCGTACGATTAATACGTCATACTAGTAGTAAATGTTTGCGGGTGTGTGTATGTGCGTGTGTTTTTTTTTTTCTTGCTCTAAAACGACAACACGCTCTGTCTCTCTGTGGGCCCGATATCTTTTTAAACACAACTCTTCTTCCCTTCAGAACTTGAACTTGACTAAAAAACAGATTTGGCTTAAAGCGTCGTCAACTCTACATCCCAAAAACTATAACTAAAAGCAGACAGCTCTGCCTGCTCTGTGGTGTTGTTGTGCGGTGGTATTCTGTTGTTGTATTTCGTGTTTTTGTTATTTTCCATAATCGACAATAACAAAAAAATTAAGCGACCTCTTCGTTCTTTCTTTCTTGGAATAAATCACAAAAAAGAAAAAAACGAAGAAGCAAAGAAGGAAAAATTTACGAAAAAGAAAGGTAAAACTGCATTCCATCTTGTTGGCTTCATCTGGTTCGGATGACGATGAGTGAGCCCTACAACAAGTGGGGGTATACATTGTAAAACATGACAACAATGCAATGAGTCAAAAAACATGACTAGTTAACTTTTGCTTTTTTAAGTAAAAGTTTTTGAGGTAATGACGATTGTGATGGTTTTGGGCAATGACGACGTCAAAATCTATTTCCCCTAAATACGGCGACGGCGGCGTTCTATTCTGAAGTAGTCCAATGCTTAATGAATATGCACAGCGTAGCGTTTGAAATTTGTCGTCATGCTATCCCTCGCGTCCGGAAGACGCAAGAAAGGTGAATACACTTTTATCGTTGTTTTATTTACTTTTTTCCTCCGTACCGTAACCAAAATAAAAAAAATAAAACGGTAAGCCCCAAAAACGTTAACGTTTAGGTGTTATTGGTCAGAAAGCATTTTGTGTGTATGGGTTTTGGCTTAGTGTGGCCATTTGACCACTAGTCAGATTTAAAAAAATATATCAGGTGTTGGATTTTGTTATTACCGTTTGTGTCTTGTTGTGTGACAAAACTAATCAAGGAATTATAGAGGGAGAAGTGACATATATGAATGAACCATGATAGATATACTAATCTAATAAAACACAGGCGAGCATTGATGGTTATGCACACATATTTAACACTGTGGTACAGGGTATTATGTCTCTGTACATACATATGTCTGTAACAGGCAAAAGGAAACGAGATACGACACATGGTTCCTTTTCAGAATATGCATAGAATCACTTTCGGAGCCGATTTAAAGTAAATACCATTCGATTTACACGAAATTTTACATAGCACACTAAATGAAGTCTAGAATGATGTGTGTTAGGTTTCGTGAAAATCGATTCAGATTTAGATATAACTCCCATATATATTTTTGCCGATTTAAAGTAAATGGTACTCCAAAGTCCCTAAATATCTTCGATATGCACGAAATTTGGTATAGCACACTAAATTAAGTCTAGAATGATGTGTGTTAGTTTCGTGAAAATCGGTTCAGATTTAGATATAGCTCCCATATATACTTTCGTCCGATTTAATAGAAATGGTGCACCAATGTTCTTATATATCTTTCGTTCAATTTCATGTTAATGTTCTTTCGAAAAGGCGACGTCTGTTAGGATACTATGTAGAATATACCCAAAGTGGTGAGGGGAAGTGGGTCCCCCTTCATTTCATATCGTTTATAACAACATATCGCTTACAGCGACAAATTTCGCCGTTCTCTTGGCCGTCGTTAAAACGAATTTCAACTGTATAATAAAATAAAATGCTTTTTGCGGAATTTTAGAGACCCATATTTCAGAAAAATTTACATCCACAAAAAAGAATATTTTAAAACGGGCCTTAAATTAGATTTTTTAGAAAAATCTCCGCAACAAAACCTACCGGTGATAAAAAATTTCAAAAAACGAGATGAGCCTCTAATTTTTAGTAAAGTCAATTTTAGTCCTAACAACGATTTTTTTTTTTAGAAAATAAACATGAGGGCCTAGTAAATATTTCAAATGTTATACTAAGTTTCTTATCAATTGGAGGCACAGAAAAAGTATTTGATAGGGTCAGAGAGATTATCGCAGACAGGTATATCGCATACCAATTTTCTATCAAAAAAAATGTCTAGTTTGTTTCATGCTTATTAAAAAGTATACATACAAGTACAATCGAAATCGCTTATATCGAAGGTAAAGAAACTGGCAAAATTGGTTCCTATAAACGAGCCGTTATGAACCCTATTAAATAAAGGGTATACTATTTGGAATTCGTCGTTTATAATCGATGTCGTTTTAAAAACGTAGCAAAATAGTTTTTAAGCAAAGTATAATTCCAACACCTAATATTAATTTGACGTCCAACGTGAAGACAGAAGTATCAAGAAAGTGGCTTTATTAGGGAGTTAAGCAATTGTTGTTGCTGTTCTGCTGAAAACCAAGAACCTGATTTAATTACAACAAAAAGAGAGACTTCATTGTGTTCTGGGCACAAGGGGGATTTTTTGTAATAAATTAGCTCATCAAAAGAGAATATTGAAATTGGAGATTTATTTCATGGAAATTGTCACCACAAACAGCAATGACACAGGTACAACACAACCATACAGCAAAATGTGACCAAAACAAAACAGAGAAATAAACAAAGTAAACAATAAATAAATAACAAAACAAAATAGAAAGACAAACTAGAATATGGCCCATATCACATTTAACTATGCCAGCCAATTGATTTCATATTTTCTGGTCCAAATATATCATCATATCGATGATTTTGAAATATCTATTTATATATATAGAAATAAATAAACAGAATAATATAGATCATCATAAATCCCCCAACAAAATAGTTAGTGGCACTCTGTGGAACACACACTCATACACAGACGGATAGAGCGACAGGTTCAAATATACAAGGTTGGTTTGTTTGATTCTGCCGATAAATATAGTGATGAATATTGTGGGTTGTTGCTTTTACACTTTGCTGTGAGACTGCCAGTCCCAAGTTATTGCTGGTGGACAACAAAAACAACAATATTTTGTTGTAAATTATTTTAGAGTGATTACGTTGCACTATGATGTTGATGGTGGATCAAATGTATGTCAGTGGGTTGATTTAGTGGCGATATGGTTGGGGACAAGTGTACGGTGAGGTGACAAATGTGTGATCACACACACTTATACTCAGGAATGGAAAACGTCACAATGAAAAACGGAAAATATAAATAAATATTTCCTCATTATAAATATTATTAAATACATACCAATCCGCCGTTTTTTCAAATTGCCCACAATATCAGCTTATTAATTTTCTTTTCACTTCCGTTTTTTCCAATTAGAAAATCACACAATTTCACTCACACACAAATTGGTTGATTGGTTGAAATAAAGAGTGTACACAACATGAATTTCTTTGCCTTTTCTTGATTGTTTTGTCTGTCTACACGCCCAGTCTAAGGTCAGTTTTATTCAATTTTCTTTTATTTAGAATTTCATTTCTTTTTCTCTTGATTGGGGATTTAAAAACTTAATATTTTTCACTAATTTTTATAATATTTTTAACAAGTAAATAAATGCAAAAGTGTTAAACAAATTCCCTCAAAGTTACAGTACAAGACGAAAAAAAACATAGACCGAACCGAATGCCAAAACGAATGATGACAAAACATATGTTGGCTATCGGAATCGAATTATCGATAACAAAACAATAATAATCACACAAGACATGAGGTGTATGGTCATACATTAAACTCAACAAGTAATAACGTCGTTCACCATGAAGTGGAAATCCAAAATCTACAAGATAGCGAATTGTGGATTTTTTTATATGGTAGGGAGATTTTTTCCCCAATAAGCACAAGAAATTTAATTTAAATTACTGGCAATTAGAATGCAATCTCGCCTACAATTTGAAAGACACTATTATGTAGGGCGGGCTACCTTAAATAGTTCGGAAGATTTCGGAAACCTATACAAAATATCAAATTGTGGTGGTACCCTTAATTAAAAAAAAAAAATAAATACATAAATAAAAAAATAAAAAATAATAATAATTTGTAAAAATTGTGGATATCAAAAATGTTTCCCCTTTTTCTTACCACCACTTTGTTCGAGGTTTGTATTGGCAATTATCCAGAAGAGATCTTCTGTTCTGGTCACCAGATATCAGAAATACGAAACATAGTTAAACAATTAAAATATATATATATATATATATATTTGTAAAGACTTCGATTTTTAAGGACCAAACTGAGTTTGTTTTTATTTATATATATTGATGGATATACTTGTAAGGATTTTAATTTTTAAAGCCAATTATATTCTAAAGTAACAAAGTAAATAAGGCCCAAACAAAGTGTGAACTTATAAAGAATATACTCTGAAAAAAGAACATATTTTTAAGGTCCAAAAAAGTGTGCAGTTTTTGAAGAAAATAAAAAAATCAACTACGTTTGCGTCGTCAAATCCTAAATCGTGTAATCAAAATTTGCATGCGAAAGAAGTTGCACTTGGGGAAGTGAATAAAGGTTTGATGGGTGGAAGTTTCCTTTGGTTCTAAAAATAAAATTTTTCGATAGAACGCACAAACTAGGTTTCCTGCTAGAAAAAAAGGCATCTGTTTTTTTTTTCAAGAACTGCAGGAAGCGTAGATTTTTAAAGAATGTTTCTTTTCAGAGACTAATGGAAGTGCATTTTTTAAAGAATGTTTTTTCAGGTTGAATTTTTACAATATTTCCAGGAACTACACTATGGGCCAAGAACCTATCTTTTTGGCAAAATGTGTATTTCAAATCTTTCAAGATTTTTAGCTATACACCAGTGAAATTTTATATCATTGTGGGTCACAGGAAATTGTACGATGTTGTATATGGGTCCACGTTTTCGTATACTCTCCGATATAACGATATTTTGAATATACACCTCATGGCGGAATGCAAAAAAGTTCGACCTTAACAACTTTTTTACTTGTTATTTTTTCATATCTCTATTTATCGACAGAAGGCCGTTCGACGTATAAAGTGATCTCTGTCTATTACAAGATCAATTCATATTCAAATAAATTAAAATAACTTTAAATCAATTTTTATTTTTTCTTTCTTTTCTAGCTACTCTCAACACGGCTACGTGATTTCGTCATTATTACGGCGTCAATTTTATTACGAATAGGCTTTAGAATTTAGCAATCCCAGCTGATTGAAAACAGCTGTTGGTCGTCGTTAGAGGGTTGTAGTTGGCAAATGAGTTAGTGTAGCGACGTAATGTATTAAAAACCAAAGGGCCAAAAGCGATTCCAACAACATCTCAATATACTACTCTTCTAAACATCATTCTATCAACCTTTGTGTACAAATTCCAATATTTTACAAATGTCCTGTGATCCTGATATACAATCCATCTATAATGAACATTTTCGAAATTTGGTGACAATCAATGAAGAAGAACGCACAGCAGCAGCAACGTCAAGTGCGTCTGGCAGTGCCACAGCGGACATAACAAAAGCTCATGCCGAGATCTATAACCCTTCAGTGCAATTTACCAACGATGACATTTGGATATTTGGTTATGGTTCGTTAATGTGGAAAATTGACTTTCCCTGCATCGATTGGCAGCGTGGCTATATTTGTGGCTATCAGCGGCGTTTCTACCAGCACAGTATTGATCATAGAGGGGTACATGTAAAGCCCGGTAGAGTTGTTACCTTGGTGCCAGCAACACCCAACGACCGTGTATATGGTGTGGCCTATCGGGTGGCAGCAAGTGAACGAGATTCGGTTATAAAACATTTAGATTTTCGTGAAAAGAATGGCTATGAACGTTGTACGGTAACATTCCATGTCTTTGATCCGGAAAACCGAAACAATGAAGAGAGCACAAAGAAGAAATCATTTGACATAGTTATTTATATTGCTACCCCCGAAAATGAGTCCTGGGCTGGTGATGGCCCTAATAGTCAAATTGAAAATATTGCTGAGCAAATTTTCACCTCCGCCGGACCAAGTGGTCGAAATCGCGAATATCTCTTCAATTTAGTCAAATCAATGCAACATTTATTTCCCGGGGTCGAAGATGAACATTTGTTGGAATTGGAAATGGCTGTGAGGCAGCGTATTGCCAAAGATGAGGAGCGATTGTTGGAAATGGCTTTGAAAAAAGAACTGAAAGATGTTCTTGGCGGCAAGGGAAAGGACTTGAAACTGAATGATGATGATGAATGCATGACGTGGCAAAAAAACAAAATAGATCATCTGATAAAGTTTTGCCATAAAACGGGTTGGCGTGAATATTTCCTAGCCAAAGAACTTTATGGTATACAAATATTAAGTTTATGGAACGATGATGATCGTAGAAAATCTTAGAGAAATAAGAAATATGTAATTAAATTAATGTAGAGCGAGAAATGATGTAATAAATGTGGCTTGAGATGACAAATAGGAAATGTTTGGCGTGGATTTTTTAAAGAAAATTGTTTCAAAGATAATTTAACGCGTAGATATTTTAAATAAATTTATTTCAAAGGACCCTCTAAGGTGTGGATATTTTAAAGAAATTTATTTCAAAGGACCCTCTAAGGTGTGGATATTTTAAAGAAATTTATTTCAAAGGGCCCTCTAAGGCGTGGATATTTTAAAGAAATTTATTTCAAATGGCCCACTAATGCGTGGGTATTTTAAATAATATTCTGACAAAGGCATGCGTAAAAAAGTGATGTTTACGATGTTTACAAAGAAATGTTCATCTGTGAGAAGTACATAGTTTAGTCCCATTAAAAGAAAAGACATGCTTCTACAGGGAAAATAACTTCTTTGGGGAAAATGATTTATTCCTCGCGACATTTGAAAGCACATCTTTATTTTTTCAAGGATTAAGGACCTTCTCTTAAAACTACAAATTTCTGTGATGAGACTTCTGTTCTTCTATGAGAATAATTATTTGTTGTCATTTACAATTAAGAAACCTGGGCGTATTTTTTAATAAAGGAAGAATATTTTCCCGAGAATAAAAAAGTTGGTTCTTCTTTGTGAGGAAGATATTTTTATACTATGTAAGAAGTAAACCTTCAGTCGTAAGAATGGATCCTTGTCGTGTGTGAGAAAATATTGTAGTTCACATGTAGTTATATAATGGGCAAGAGGTTTTGTTGTTTGACTGACAGCTTTCTGGCCTCCCCATTATTCCTATTTGTCATCTATCTGGAACGTCTGATGGGATGTCCATACATAGTTGGTGACGAATTTCAGAACTACAATATGAAAATAGGTTAGAAAAAAATGAAAACGCACTAAACAAGAAGTTCTGTCTGGATGTTTCTCGTCTGGTATGGGAAGAAATTACATTTTGTCGAAAGAATGGCTGATGGAAGAGAGATTTTGTTACCTGACTAACAGTATCGGATATGAAATATGAAAATGGGTTAGAAAAAAATGTCTGAATGTTGATTGAAACTTGACAATAAGTAGAGGATCTGAGTTTTATAGTTCGGCCCATTTTCCAAAAAAATAAAAAGGTTTCCTGGGTAGGGTATAAAATTATCTTTTCAATGCGCATTTACAGTTGGGAGATCCCGTAAAGATATTTTCGGAAGTATAAAATCCGTTATAGGTGTGATTTAGTTTTATAACCTTTTAGAGAAGTTGTTCAAACTGTTTAATTTTTTAATAAAGTCGAAGATCTTCTAATAATTTCTTTAGGCGATATTTATTTCTTCCTTTTTCTCTACCTCAAATATAACCATTAAATTCCTAACAAATGTGAACACATGTTCTGCAACATCATGTAGGCGTCAATTTCACACTGTCCATTGCCATATATGTGAGTACGTAGTATCTTACTCCAGTGCATTCGTTCTGCACATCCACATTCACATACATCTCTTAAAAAAGGATATTAAAATGTAATTTATAATCCGTCTAGAATAACTTTATGTGTGCAACTCTCAAACCAAACACTTCCCGAAAAAGACAAACACAAAAAGTCCAAAGTTTTTTTTTTTGTTGTATCACTGTCCTCAATGGAAATAATTTTGTCTCAGTTGGATGTCTTCTTCTTCGTCTAGGATTATTTTTTTCCTTTAGACTATTGCTTGTTCTATGGGCTATTGGTTATGTTAATGTTGTTGGCACAAATGGAACTGCCCATGTATATTCAATGAATGTTAAAAGAATTAATTGTACAAAAGTAATAAATACAATAACGTCCAGGTCGGATTGGGTCGGTATGACGACGTTTGCAGTAAAGATGATGACAACCACTACAAAATAGGAGAATACATAATATAACGCCTTGCGGCCAATTGGCGCTATTTTTCATTTGCCAATAAATGTTATTGCCGTTCGGCGATGTGAAGGCAACACTGCGAGAAAAATTGAGGGGGCATAAAGAGACTTTAAAATTTAAATTTTACATAAGAACAGTTATATACGTGCATTTTGTGAAGGATATTTTTTAAGAAAAAACAATGCTTGGAATTTTATAGAATATATGTCAAGGACCAAGGAGAAGTGATTTTTTAAAAAACACGTATTTCAAGCCTAGCAGAATCGTGGATTTTAAAAGATCATTTTTTCGATAAACCCTCTATGGCGTGGTTTTTTAAAGAGCATTTTTCGGAGGACCCAAAAAAGCGTGGATTTTTAAAGAAAAATTTTTCAGAGGACCCTCTAAGGCGAGGATTTTTAAAGATTATTTTTCGAAGGACCCACTAAGGCGTGGATTTAAAAATCCAAACTTAAAAGGTGTGGATTTTAAAAGGCTGGATGTTTAAAAAATATTTTTCGAAGGACCATAAGAGGTGTGGATTTTTAAAAAATATTTTTTTCAAGAACCATCAAAAGAGTGGATTTTTAAATAACCTTGGAAGCAAGGGGTTTCAAAGAATACTTTTTCGTTTTCTGATTATTTTTTATGCGTGTACTCTTCCCCCTCTTTATTTGCGTTGAGTATGCATAAATTTCAATCTTGGGAGTTTTTTGTTGTTCTTGTTGTTCTGTTAAGAGAAGCAGGGAGTTAGGTTACCCTGCTTCTCTTAACAGCTGACCATAATAGTTCACCATGCCGACTGGTAGTAGTGTGCGTTGCTATTGGGAAGTTTTGGGTTACATTTGAATTACGAAATCATCCAGCCGCTAAAAGGAAATTTTCCTAAAATCCGACAAACGCTCCAGCAGCCAGCCAACCAGGCAGGCAATGTGATGAAAGAGCTATAGCATATTAGGCGAATACCCGCTGTCTTTGCCATGGCAAAATCAATCGATTCGACATTATTATTAATTTTTCATAACTTCTGAGCGGGCTGACCATAGATAGCCGTCTGGCTATGGCTTGATCCTTGCGGCAACGTCATACACATCATTGATGTTGTTGTTGGTGGTGTGCCTGGTCAACTTATGATTGCCACAAAAGTGAGTGAGAAAGTGACTGGATATTTGGCGTTGAAAACCAATCTGCTCAAATTTGTAGCAAATTCATGTAAAACAATAACAGCGACAACAACAACAACAACAACGTGGTGTACATATACAAATGAAATTAGCATTAAATGATGATGATCATCAACCAAAAAAAAAGGAAGAAGACAAAATAAAATCTTTTGATACACCGCCAACTGCATTCAGGATGGAGTCAGACCTTCTTTTATTTTTTGTGGAATGGGTGAATTGGAGGGGAAAATGTCAATTTGTTTACCTAGTTTAAGGATTTTATTAAAAGGGTAGAGATGTGAAAAAGATTACTTTATTATCATGATTAAGTGCTGTGATTTTCAATACTTAAAGGGCAATTGTTCTAGTTTTCCTTCAGAAGACAAAATCTTTAAGGTTATTTTTTTCGAAAAAAAAGTTTGTAAGTACTAAAAGAATGGTGGATTTTTAGAAGAATATCTTTTCAAGGTCTATATAAGGCGTGGATTTTTTAAAAAAATAGGGTTTCAAGGTCTATATAAGGCGCGGATTTTTAAAAGAATAGTTTTTCAAGGTCTATCCAAGGCGTGGATTTTGAAAAGAATACTTTTTCAAGGGCTATATAAGGCGCGGATTTTTAAAAGAATATGTTTTCAAGGTCTATCCAAGTCGTGGATTTTTAAACGAATAGTTTTTCAAGGTCTATCCAAGGCGTGGATTTTGAAAAGAATACTTTTTCAAGGGCTATATAAGGCGTAGATTTTTAAAAGAATACTTTTTCAAGGGCTATATAAGGCGTAGATTTTTAAAAGAATACTTTTTCAAAGGCTATCCAAGGCGTGGCTTTTTAAAAGAATAGTTTTTCAAGGTCTATATAAGGCGTAGATTTTTAAAAGAAAAGTTTTTCAAGGTCTATATAAGGCGTAGATTTTTAAAAGAACAGTTTTTCAAGGTCTATATAAGGCGTAGATTTTTAAAAGAACAGTTTTTCAAGGTCTATATAAGGCGTAGATTTTTAAAAGAACAGTTTTTCAATGTCTATATAAGGCGTAGATTTTTAAAAGAACAGTTTTTCAATGTCTATATAAGGCGTAGATTTTTAAAAGAACAGTTTTTCAAGGTCTATATAAGGCGTAGATTTTTAAAAGAACAGTTTTTCAAGGTCTATATAAGGCGTAGATTTTTAAAAGAACAGTTTTTCAAGGTCTATATAAGGCGTAGATTTTTAAAAGAACAGTTTTTCAAGGTCTATATAAGGCGTAGATTTTTAAAAGAACAGTTTTTCAAGGTCTATATAAGGCGTAGATTTTTAAAAGAACAGTTTTTCAAGGTCTATATAAGGCGTAGATTTTTAAAAGAACAGTTTTTCAAGGTCTATATAAGGCGTAGATTTTTAAAAGAACAGTTTTTCAAGGTCTATATAAGGCGTAGATTTTTAAAAGAACAGTTTTTCAAGGTCTATATAAGGCGTAGATTTTTAAAAGAACAGTTTTTCAAGGTCTATATAAGGCGTATATTTTTAAAAGAACAGTTTTTCAAGGTCTATATAAGGCGTAGATTTTTAAAAGAACAGTTTTTCAAGGTCTATATAAGGCGTAGATTTTTAAAAGAACAGTTTTTCAAGGTCTATATAAGGCGTAGATTTTTAAAAGAATACTTTTTCAAGGTCTATATAAGGCGTAGATTTTTAAAAGAATACTTTTTCAAGGTCTATCCAAGGCGTGGATTTTTAAAAGAACAGTTTTTCAAGGTCTATATAAGGCGTAGATTTTTAAAAGAACAGTTTTTCAAGGTCTATATAAGGCGTAGATTTTTAAAAGAATAAAAAATATTTTTTCCTTTCTGTTTTATAAATCACGAAACGTATTTAGATCACTTCCGGATGTAATTCGTGATCATGAGCTAACCCATACACATTAATTTAAAAATAATAATTCTTATTCTAAACTCCAAACATTGAT